TATATATATATATATACACGAGTGCTTGTGTATGCGTGTGTGTGTGTGAATTTAATAGGACTGTTAATGAATTTTGAAGAATAAACGGCCAGCTAAATAATAACAATATTGGAAATAAAATTGATGATATTTATTATATATAACATTTTTGAGACACGAAGAGAATGATTTTCTTAGGGTCCTGTCACTGGATTTAACTAACGCCTTTATCAACTGTGCCATGTGAGGACACATGCCACAGAGTGTGAGTTCAATACCCGGTTAAGGCAGTGGAGAACTTGGAGAGAGGAATTAACAGGAGATAACTGATAACTGACATCCATTAGACATGGCACGTGGAACTAGAACAGTCTACCCCAGTGAGCGAAATAAAGGGTTCAGTTCCATTCCAACCACCTGAAGAAGGCCGGAGCGTACTACGGCCGAAACCTTGTAATAAATATGGCGATAAAGATGAGGACTATAGTCCGAATAATGTAAATGGTGTACATAATGCCTCATCTCAGAAATATAGACAGTTACCAATCTAATATGACACTTAAATTCATGAGGTCGAGTTATCAAAGAACAAAGCTCGTTACAACAATTGCCATGAAAATATTAAGTCAGGTTTGTTGATTTTGCTAGATGTTACCCCTTGACGAGCTATTTAATGTTGCAATTTATATCGGGTACCTTGTGAAAATAGAAATCACTACTATATAACAATAGGTTAAACAGACTACACACTGTCTGAAGTTATTATTCAAATCATATAAATTTCATTCATTCAAATATGGTTTGAAAAAAAATGTCTAATTTTAAACAATCAATTTATATGTCAGACAACGCCTAAGATCAAATTTTAGTTTGTATCAATATGTTTTATTGAAGTTATTTGATGTATTCTAAAAAATCTGCAGTCTGAATTTATGTGGCAAAACCAAATAATCACATTTTATTTCAATAAAAAGGTAATAATATCATCAAAAATTGATCAACATCTATAACAGAACAAATAACAAACACTTACTTTAAATCCTTTACATTTTAATATAGTGACTCTTCTTAATAACAGCCAGTAATCTATTATACATTCTGTTAATATTTCTTACTACAACAGGTTCAATTTCTGACATGGTAGTTTTCATTGCTTCCCATAGGTCTGCTTTGCTTTTATACTGTTTGCCACCTTCATATAATTTCATCTTCATAATTGACCATAAATTTTCAATCGAATTCAGATCAGGAGTTGATGGTAGCCATTCCATTATCTTCTCTCCTGTAAATTTTTTATGCTCAAATAATTCACGGATAAGCTTAGTGTTATGTAGTGGTTTCACAGTGGAGGCAAGTATTTGTACTAAGTCGGTCCTAAAATAGGTTCAACGTACAAAACGTTAGGAACTTGATATAATAGGTAATGACGCAGCAATCTAGTTGTGGTGGCTGATACTTTAATATCCGACTAACGGTCGTCCGGCATCGACTGACTGACCAACTCCCTGCCGACTGCTACTACTCCTACTTATTATAGGTGGGAGAATCTATTAAATATAGAATAGGTGTGTTCCACTATAACACTTAGATAGATGAGAAGGATTACCGTTGTGCATAAATATACACTTCACTTTGAAACTGCGAGACTGGGGCTTGTATCATGCAAAGAAAATCTTGTCCATAAAATTGCAATAGTTAGCACTGTTCAGTTTAACTTCTTCATCGACTTTGAATGGTTCAATAATGGTTTGGTTGACAATTTCCAGCTCATATCATAACACAACCGCCTCCTTGTTGCCTTATTTTAGCCCTGGGCACGTATGAATTGGATAAAATCTATTCTTTGACCCATCCATCAGGTCTATAAAATGTCACTCGAGATTCATCCGTGGAAATTACTTTAGAAAGGTCAATTTTTATGTATTTCTTGGTCCAATTTTGACGCTTTATAATATTTTTTTTGTGAGAGGAGGTTGCCTAGATTTTTTTCTACACTATTCTACACCTTTTGTCCTTCTTGACTTCCTCAGTTCCAGCCTTTTTTGAAAGATCTAAGCGCTGGTCAAGTAGTTTTTTCGCTGTAACACTGTTTAATTTACGTTCATCTCGAGGAAGCAAGTTCTTAAAGCGTTTTCTTTTGTTTCGAGTTCTCAACTTACTTATATTTTCAATAGCCTTCTTTATCGTTCGATGATCTCTGCAAAACTCATTTGATATCTCCAATGTAGGCATTCCCTCACTCAATAACTTTATTATTTTCCATGTTTCAGTAGTTGTTAGATCCTTCTCTTTACCCGTGTTTGAACATATATTATGAACAAAAAGAAAAATAGTTTTATTAGATTTCAGAGACTTTAAGCTAATATTAGATTAATCGGCATCATAACTTCAGTCAGTTCATTTTCGTAAATTCCAAATATCCCAAAAACTAACCATTAAAAATGGCAGAAAATTTACTTAAATATTTTACTATGGGTGGAAATAAACGCGTTTAAATTTGACAAATATCGTTTCAGAACTTTTTGAGTTATTGAGGCATATTTGATTTGCATAATAACTTCAGACAGGCTAACAATTGCTCCGCGCTGACTGCCTCATAACTAAAAAATGCTAGATTTTGAATTAGCAACGATGAAGACACTTGTCGTATAATAAAATATATCACTTATGACACAACATTCGGTCCTTGAAGAGATCACATATAAGAGAGTGAGATGAGAAATATTATAAAAGAGAGAGTGTCTCTTATAGTTCTCGATGAAGAGAACATATTTTGAAGCGTCATGAAGTCTCTTTGTTTTTATGTTCTCGGTATAAATCATCAATAAAATAATTGCCTGGGATTTCTTATATAGGAAACTGCTCGAACGCTGAAATCATTTTAAAATTCTTGCGATATTCGCTTAGTGTTATACCCAAAAGATAGATATTTCTCGAAATAAATCATATCTAGCAAATAATAAAAAAAAATCAACTCTGAAGGCGCAGCTAATTAGGAACGAACTTAACAATCAGAGGCTTGCGAGATGAGCACGTCAACCATCGCTCTGCAACAGGCGCCCACAGAGGAAAGGTAGGAATAATGGGATGGTATTGTACACCCAGTTGCGCGAAAAATGGCGCTTAAACGTGGCATATCATTCATCTAATTGTGCGCTTCGAATGATGGCTGGGAGGTTGAAGGAACAAAGAGAAAAAAACGTTAATGTTTAAAGCGCGTTGTAACAAGGTTGAAAGGCAAAGATGATAACGAAGTAAATGGAGGGGGGTAATAAAGGGTATGATAGAGAGGAGGCAGAGTAAATCACGATATCCCTAATTGCACACCCACCTACGCATGCGTGCTTGCATATCTCACTTTATAGACGTGATTATTTTGCAACGGGAGTAGGTGTTGTTCTCCAGAACTAAAAGCGAATATTTACAAAGTGCCAAAATGTCCAGAACAGATCTCTTAGAATATTGATTGATTGATTCCTTTTTTTACGACTTATCAACCCTTTGCATGTTATTTAAAGCCAGAAAATATTTTTAGATTGTAAAAATGTTTTGTGGGGGATAGAAATAGTAAGTATTTAATGGGACAAGTCTTACTATTTAACCCATAGCTGAGAGAAGAAGAAATGGATTCATACCTTTAGTGAATATAATGAAAGCAACTGGAATTGGAACTCGGCTATTCGATTAACAATTCCGAGCCATTATCCATTGCACCAACTGCACATCCAAGCTTACAGCAGCTGGTATTCCCAAGCGATAACCCATCTAAGTCTCTTGGAATAATTCGTGTATAATACTTATTAATGTACGTATAATGCGGAAATATTATGAAGAAATATAGTTTTAAGGTGTGCTATATTTATGGGATAAAGTGCTAAATATCAGAGATAGAGCGTATGTAAATATAAATATAAAAGTGAACATTGAAGTCAACACTCAAAGGCGACAGGCTGTTTCATGCTGGATGCAATCGTCAGGCCGCCTGATATATATATATATATATATATATATATATATATATATATATATATGCAGGGTGAGGTAAAAGTCGAGCACCATAGGTTAATGGATAAGTTGAAGAGGCTCTGTTGAGTGGCCACGGAGTTCACCAGACCTCACACCTTGAATTTTTTTTTTCCTGTGGGGCCATTTGAAATTAGTTGTTCATCAGATGCGCCTAAGAAATATTCAGGATCTTAAAGAAAAAATTACGTCCTGGGCATGACGATAAACTATATCCGGCAGCAAGGCTTCTGATCGGGAGATTTTGAGGAACGTGAAACCTTATCTTAATTGCCGTTGTTCCCAGGTTCTCCCAGGTTCTCCCAGGTTCCGGGGTTGTAGCACTTGTTAGGGTCCAAGCTATGGCCAAATTGTTAACCCCCTAATGAGGTCAAAACGCTAATAAAATATAATAAAACATTTAATAGTAAAAATACCAGCAATATATTTTCATAGTCAAAAATTTGCCCTCAATACGTTTTTAAAAAGAAAATCAAAATGAAAAAAAAATTACCATGTAACAATACGATTTCTTTCACATCCTTAGGAGAGAAGTCGATAAATTCCTTTTCCTTTTAAATCCACTTAATTCCAAACACAGTCAGCACATTGTGGCCATTTTCGTAGTTAATGTTATTGAGTGTTGGCTTTTTCTTTATTATTAGGGGTTCCATTATTTTTAATCTTTTTTTTACATGTGGATGAGGTTATTATGCTTGTAGTTTCTACCGGTATGTTTCGGATGGATTCTTTTAGGTTTGTGTGTGTGTTTAAATAAGTTCTGTTTCACTCTGTTCATAACTATCTATCTATCTATTTCACTCTATTCATATCGATCTATTTCACTCTGTTCATATCTATCTATCTGTCTATCTATTTCAATCTCTTCATATCTATCTATCTCACTCTGTTCATATCTGTCTATCTATCTATCTATCTATTTCACTCTGTTCGTATCTATCTATCTATCTATATATCTATGTTACTCTGTTCATATCTATCTATATATCTATCTCACTTTCGGTGAAATCAAGCTCAAAGCATCGGTTCTTGTTCGCTCACCGAACTTAAACAATATCGAACCCGGTTAGTACTTAGTTGGGGGACCGCTTGGGAACACCCGGTACTGTAAGCAACCTCCTACATTCTGAAATATGTTTTACTTTAAGTAACCCACAAAGGATTAATAAAACGTAAAATAATTATCTCCCTTTGTTCATAACTAACTATCTATCTATCTATCTATCTATTTATCTCATGTACGTGTCAAGGCTGAAGATAACTTGCATTACTTAAAAACGTTGGTGCTTACAGGCGTTAAGACCCGACGATCATAAGTACCCAGGGAGTATTCACGGAGTACCCACAGGGTTTGCTGCCAAAATTAGCTGGTATATGGCACGTGTCCTTTTCAGATAACGTGATCCAGATAAGTTTAAGCTTTTAACTCCGGCTTCAAACCACAAAATATTTTTTTTAAAATAATGCTTGCATACAGAAATCAATGTAAATTTCATTCCTTGTTACACAAGTGTTTGTGACGTAGATTTTATCAATGTATTTGGATTATGATACTGTAGAACCTAACTTCTACATTTTAGTATCTTCACGTGAAAAGACTAAAATCTTGTGCATGCTAAACAAAATGCAGGCTCCAGACTTAAGTCTTACAATAATCGTTTCTGATTGGTCAATATATCTCAAAGTCGCAACAACGCCTACGCTCAAGTGTTTAAACCCAAAAGACCGCCAAAATCTTGAAACGTGTTCTAGAGTCTACCACGTGGTTCACATTACTTGGCGACATCTTCTCTCGATCTCTTTTTTCTATTCTCACTTACAAGCAATGTAAGTTCTGTGGTGAATGTGCGTTTTCCCTTTTGGAAATCACACCCACACACGTTTTGGCACTATTTTTAAACTGTTTAATTTTCTTACAAGTAACACCACATCTTACTAAAATTCTCCAAACTTACACAGCTTTTAATACATTTCACAGTTAACAAGAACATTTTCTTCACTCAAAATTCCAAGGACAAATACATTTCAGCATTTCAAACACAACCGAATTTCTGTTTTCTACAATTGTTGTTGTGCATATATAAATTTCATTTACTTGCGCAACTTTGTAGACTCGTCCTTTTCCTACCTATCACCCCTAGTAACTGAACAGTCTATATCTTACGCCTACGTACGGAAAACTTCAACCAATAAAAACCGTACTAGGCGAATCAACAAATCGCATTGGTTAACGACACAATAATCTGAAAGTTTCACGTGCAAAACGAAATTGCGCCAAAACTTATGTGAGCCGATTTCGGACTTTCAAAACTTATAAAAGAAAACGCCGACTGACCAAAACAGTCAGAGACGAAAATCCACAGAGAAATTGCCAAAATACTCCACGTCACTCGAAATCACGATTTTACCGCGCAAATGTACATCAATGCTGACTCACTTGCAATTTAAACTCAACCAACTCTGTGGACATCGAATCACAAACCTTGCTTACCCAAAAAGAATTATATTCACTACCTATTAAGTAAAAATCAACGTGCAAACGATTTAGAAATATTACAGTCAAAGGTAGATCACTCCATAAGAACTCCTACAAAAAAAACACTTAATATCGACAATTTTAATATCAACACAAATCTAGAAAGACTGTAAATGAACAAACGAATACTAAGAGAGACATACTGAAACCTAAAATATCACACACACTTTGCCATAGTAACATATACCAAATATCTGCTTGTATATTATTTTGAATTGTATATAAATGTTTTATTGGTTTCTAAATTGAATATGTCTTGTTTTTGATTGTATTTAAAATTCGTTTATTTATTTGTTTGTGGATGCAGAAAGACATGCAACCTACACAAATTCCTTCTGATTCTCTCAATTATAATTAATAAATTCTGCACATCCCCAACAACTTCTCTTATTGAATGTTTCTTCTTGTTGTTTCATATTTTGTAGTTATTTGTGTAATATAAATTAGTTAGGGCGATCTGGTGACCCTACAATAGCACCATTCCGTCATCTTATTTCTTATTGCACCTTTGGGTCGCTCCACCTATATTGGTAATCGCTAGTATACAAAAAGCCACGTAACTTCAAACTAAGACATACTGACTTAGAAAAAATATAGGTATTTAAAAATCGTCTTACTGAACTGTATGTGACAAGGCTTTTTTGTGGTGGTTAATCAATTGATTAGGTTTTTTTACGATTTATAAAGCGTTTTGGAGTTATTTAAAGCCGTAATATTTTGCCGTAATATATTGTACATATATTCCGTAATATTGTGTATAAAGCCGTAATATATTTGGGATTGTAAGAACAATATTTTATGAGTGAATATTACATTAAGAATTGTTTTGTGAATAGCAACAATATTTTTAGACAAAATTATTACTATTTAACCCATATATGGGGTCTTTGATAAACCCGTTTTATTGTTTTCAGGCACTTTCCAAAGGTGCCTCACGCAGTCCATCAAAAATCACCTTCTTGACAAATTGGCCGTTCTGAGATATTGACTATTATATATATATATATATATATATATATATATATATATATATATATATATATATATATATATATATACACATATATATATATATATATATATATATATATATATATATAATAGTCAATATATATTATATATCCGGTAATTTAAACAGCCAATGTAATAGGGACTATTGCAGCTATTATTTGCGAATAATACCTTTTATGTGCCAGTGTAAGGGAAACAAATAACTTATTTCTCTGAAGGAGAGATAAGGTGTTTGGCTAATTTAAATACTGGTTTAACAGAGGTGAATACACGCACATACGCAAACACATATAGACACACACATATAGACATACACACACAGACACACACACACATATATATATATATGTATATATAGTTACACCCCCCACACACACACACCAAAAAAAAATTACATCATTTAAAATTTGAATACCTGAGTCGCAGGCAAACGACAGGAAAATTGGCTTGATGTTGAACAATAAGATTTATTTATCACAATTAGGAAAAAATATTCAGAGGGATGTAGATTTTATAACCGATTTTACAAAGCTTCACAAATGTTCAATATTCACACCACCTGTGACTCAAAACACGTTAAGTCGGTCGTTCAGCTCCTGACAAACACGACGTAGCATGTCTTACGTAACATTCTTCAGCGCCTCAGTGCGGACTTATCTCAATGATAAATTACCAGGAAAATGGATCGGGCGTGCCATTGATAACGGCAATGTGCTGTTGAAATGGCTACCACGTTCACCTGACTTGACATCTTGGGATTTTTTTTTTATATGAGCCTATGTAAAAGGACAGTTATATAGCCGCTCTTCCTACAAGTCATCGAAGAAAGAATGAAAGAAAGTAAGAAACCTTGTAATTAATAAAGGATAGGAAAAAGCAAGTGAACATTGTCTTCAAGGCACAACAGTCAGGATAAATTTCATAAAGAGATTCATACCATTCCTAAGGGTATTACCACGTAAATGAATGCAACGGACTCAACTGAAATTCGAACTCGGATATATATATATATATATATATATATATATATATATATATATATATATATATATATATATATATATATATATATATATAAAGGAAAGCTAATCTTATTGTACACGTTTCGTCCCTTGGTTGGCTTTATCAAGGCAAATGACATACACATTCCTTAATTCCCTGTTGAAATCTTCTACTTGTTATCGCAATAGAAAACATATTCCAAGTAAAATATAAAATAAAGGGTCATTTATATATCTACCGAAATTATTATCCATTCGGCATACTTGAAATTGTGCATAATGTTCGTCTTTGGTGCTTTGTTCGTCGACAGAAAGGCGGGCGCCGTTTGATTGGCTTTGGTTGTAAGTTTGAGTAGAAGCGGGATTAGATGGGTGCTAAATTGAGCTCAGCCAGTTGCGACGGCGACAACAGAATTAAACTATCAGTACAGAATTGTCCAATGATATGATGTTAGAAAGAAAGAAAGAAAGATAAAAAGAAAGAAAGAAAGAAAGATAAAAAGAAAGAAAGAAAGAAAGAAAGAAAGAAAGAAAGAAAGAAAGAAAGAAAGAAAAAGGATGATAGAAAAAAGAAATGATGAAAGAAAGAGCAAAAAATTAAGGAGAAAAAGAAAGAAAGGAGGAATGAATGAAAGAAAGAAAAAGGATGACAGTAAAAAGAAATGATGGAAAAAGAGCAAAAGAATGAAGAGAAAAAGAACGAAAGAAAGAAAGAAAAATGAAAAAGGATGATAGAAAAAATAAATTATAGAAGAGAAAAAGAATGAGCAGAAGAAAGAAAGAAAGAAAGAATGAAAGAAAGAAAGAAAGAAAGAAAGAAAGAAAGAAAGAAAGAAAGAAAGAAAGAAAGATAAAAAGAAAGAAAGAAAGGAGATCAATAAAAAGAAATGATGGAAAAAAGTGCAAAATAATGAGGGGAAAAAGAAAGAAAGAACGAAAGAAAGAAAAAGGATGATAGAAAATAAAGGAATGACAGAAGAAAGAAAGAAAGAAAGAAAGAAAGAAAGAAAGAAAGAAAGAAAGAAAGGAAATGCAGAGAAAGAAAGAGAAAGTATTATAGAAGAAATGGTGGAAGAAGGATCAAAAAAATGTGCAGAAGAAAGAAAGAAAGAAAGAAAGAAAGAAAGAAAAAAAAAGAAAGAAAGAAATAATGAATGAATGAATGAAAAAGGATGACAGTAAAAAGAAATAACGGAAGAAAGCGCAAAAAATAAGCAAAAGAAAGAAAGAAAGAAAGAAAGAAAGAAAGAAAGAAAAAGAAAGAACAGAAGAGAAAACAAAAAGAAATGAAAATAAAAATATAACAGGGGAATAGAATGGAAAAGCAAAAGAGAGACGGAAAGAAAAATTTTAAATGGAGAAAGTGAGATGAATGAGAAGAATAAATTTCAGAAATAAAAAGAAAAAAATGAATGAACGAAAAGAAAGATATAAAATCGTGAAAGTCACGAAAACGACTTCAACTGATGTGTGTTTAAAAATGGGTTTCAAGAAAAAAGAACAAAAAAAAAACATTAAAAAACGATGATATTTATTTCGTGCTCTCATTCGAATTGAAGCCTAA